AGGGGTAGGGGTAAGTGTAGGGGTAAGGGGTAGAATTGGGATTGGGCCTTAATGTCCACAATATTGAATGTTGTGAATATTGACCAAAGCCTTAATACTGAAGTTATTTAAGAGCAAGTCTGTGCTGTAGCACAAATTTATGTAAGTTAGTTAACTTAAGTTACTCCCATAAACTATACAGTTTTATTAGTGTGTAAAAGTTTTGGAATTTGGAATGAAGAATCGGCTAAGCAACTAATAACAGAAATAAACAGGAAACAAGATTGCTTTATAGAATAGCTGCCAGTAGTATCTAGCAGTAATATTTCCATTATCTTTCCATCCATATGTAATTGAATGGACTCTCATTGCTTTACTTCAGAAATATGCAGGATTCATAAGCTCATATGACTAATCAGTAAGCGGTCCACCCGCTGACTCCTCGTTTGCACGGGCGTGGTGTGCGTATAAGCAGACGGTTAACATGCCGTGCCACTGTTTCCCAGAATACACCTGACTGTTTTATTAGACGAATCTGTATAGATTGCTGATTGATTAGGGGGAGCGGGCCATGACTCTGCATGTCGTTAAATGATGGAGCTGAGCAGGAAAGATGCTGTTACATATTAATGATTATCCGGCAAATAAGGGACAAACGCATTGGCTACTTGCCGGAAGCAAAGGCAGAAGTGAAGAAACTTTGCAAAATCCTCAAGTTCACAACAAAGGCATCAGAAAGTATAAATTTTAAATACCATACGTTTTTTTGCCCCCTCTCCTTTTCCCCCTCACCAGATCTTTAGTCTTTTCTTAGTTGAACTGAAGCCTTGTCTCAAACTGTCCTTGTTATATCAAAGAACAGAAGAGCTGGAAACCTTAAAGATACAGTGGAAACATAAAAGTGCATAGTTTAAAATTATTAGTGACACTTTTGATATACCTGAGAAAGGAGAGGAAACAAAGGAATTCCGTGCCCACTGTTTTGTGAAATAAGTCTGCAAGGAATTAACTCTTTTGTCAGTGATGTTCAGGCGCAGAGGAAGCTGCCCATTGCTCGTCGCGTATCCAATAAGAGCTCCTGCCTGTGGTCCAGCTGTTTCTATGTGACCTCTCTTTTCCAGTAGGCATTGTCAGGTTTAGCTCCTAATGGGTGACGACTTTCTCTTGCTTGCATGACCGTAACATGTATGTTAAGAGGTTACGGGTCAGTGATACTTTGTTGATGCCTGTAGGGAAAATTCTCTTTTCGACTATCCTACTTTGCTTTCCATGAGACACACAAGTGAGAGCAAGCTTGGGGCTCCTCAGGATTAGCCAGCTTCCAGCGCTCCTGAAGCACTTGTGGGTTATGGGCTTCACTCAAGGGTCCAGCTATGGCACCAGTCTGCCAGGCGCAGGATTCATAGTCACTGGCATGTAATCCTAACCTACTATGCCACACACTACACTCAAAACATACTGTCTCAAGTTTACAGTTATTGATTTCACAGACACTTTTATCCAAAGCAACATTTATGCAAAACATGGCAAATAGTAATAATAATTTCAAGCATCTAACTACGTGTTAGTGCTGCTGTGCTGAGAATCCAATAAATGACCAGTAACAAGTGCATGCTAGCATTGGAGCAGGAGCTGTACTGTAAGCGTCATATAGAACAAGAACCATTTTGAGTATTTTAGTTCTCTTACTTTTTGTGGAAGAGGATTGATAAAGCTCTCCTCACCTCTAAGTGACGACCCATGAGGCTGTGTCCAGCGTTAGGCGATGACTTTAACGTCATCGTTAGGCAAACAGCGTCGCTGTCAGCAATTTGATGTATTTTGTGGCTCCATTGGTGCGAAGCAGCAGTGAATCTAATCCAATCGCCGCTCCCTTTTTCCCGGGTGATGATTGGGTGCCGGCAGCAGCAGCAATGCTTTCTCTGATTTTTAAGGTCTCAATTTTGGAGCGACAGAAGCAGTCGTGCATTATGAAAATTGGAGTTTGGCAGTAAAGCTAATTCATTTGGCTGATGTGAGTGATGAGGTTGACCTCTTGTCACACATGTCATGGCTCCCCCCTCCATGGGTAATGGGGGGAATGGATTCCACCATTCAGCCCAAACAGCCCATTCCACCCAATCACACATCTCTGTGGAACTTTGTTTTTCTTGTATAAAATACATAATCAATGTTTATTTAAATAAATATTTTTTGCAATTTATGGTTTCAGTCATCGGCCTTGTGACTCGTTTAATCATTGGCTTTTCTGTTCATGTTGTTCTGTAAGTAGTATTCTTAAATTTATCTGCATTCGTATTCCTTTTGTTACTATATCCATCACCTAACGCAAGTATGTGATTGCCCTCCAGACTGTCTGCGAATTTGAAATGTTTTTGCAATCAGCTACTCCAGCCTCAGATCTTCTGGCTTGATGAGAGAGATGGTGCTGATTGAACGACAGCTCAACTCGGCCCAGGAATACTCACGGTCTGGTCGGAGAAGCCCGTGTTCCGTGGATGGCTCTTCAAGCCCATGTGTGTCTGACTCTTGTCTTTTGCGTATCATAGATCTGACCAGTTTTGTAGTAACACCCATTTCTTGTAAATACAACACTTCCCATAGGTATTCCCCTGGAGATTTTTTCTTCTCATTAACATTGATTGGCAAGCCTTCACAAGGCTGGTGATCAAAGCGACTTTTGAGTGATATTGTCTTAAACCTCTGAGAGCTGCAGTGAAGGGAGATTTGGGCTGGGGTCGGGGGCATGTTGCCATCTCCATATTTTCCTGTGATCTCCAAATATTACTTTACTCTTTCTCCCATTGGAGATTCCCTCGGATGTTTGTTTAATTTACCTTGGGGCTTTTGATCATCACCACGGGAAGCTGGTATCTCGATCAACTGGGAAGGAAAAAAGAAAAGAAATTGAAATGTTTGTGGTCTCAGTTCTTCTTTACAATGTGTGAGGATCCACATCCGACTGTCTGGATTAATGAATTGTGGTTTGATGAGGTATTGGGGGAAGGTGGTCAGGAATTCTGCTGGGAGACAAGGCTACGAACAGGTGGAAATCTTTATACGATGACAGGTCAAGTGCTATACAGCTGCTGAGTGCGTAATGTGTTCTGAACGAGTCAAGGAGAGATGAGAAATAAATTCTGCTTTATTTGCCCAAGTATATATGTGCTTCTTTTCACATATCCCATCATGCTCTTCTTTGAGACTTTCACACACACACATACATGTGAAAGCAAAGCTTGCCTAAGTGCAGGGTTGGGCCAAAGTCCGAGGTCAGGGTCGGGCCACTTGTTTGGAACCCCTGGAGCATTTTGGGGCGGGGGGTTTAAGGCCTTGCTCTAAAGGCCCTTACAGAGATGTGAGTATTCTGCCAAGGCTCAAGCCGGGGGCCCAACCCACTGAGCCACACACCGACCAGAAACTATAACTGATCCGTGGGCTTTATGGTTCAGCCATGTTGGGTGTGGCTGTGCAGTGTGAGGGAAGAGGCCTGGAACCACTTCATCAGCCATGATCTGAGTGGCATTCCTCTTTGTTTCTGAACGCAACCACCAACGTCAACAGAGAACATTCAACTATGTCATTTAGCACAGCCTGAATTTTTGTTTTTAAGACATCCTACCGACAGTCATGCATTGATCTGCATTATTGTGGTTTGTTTTGAAGTTTGTAGTAGGGTTACATGACCATATTGCCTCCACTGATTTATTTTTTCCCTGTGTTATAGGAAGGAGGTTGCACGCGTTCAAAATCTGTAGTTGGCCATGAGTATGGCGAAGGGGAAATGGCAAATGGTTATTGACCTCCATAAGTTGGCTACAAATAATTCTTACAAAGCAAATGCACGACTTTCCCACCATGCTTTCAGTTACTGTGACATTTAAGGCCACTGGTTCAGGGGTTACTCTAAGAGAGATTTTACAAGTTCATCTTGGTCCTATGTGCACTGAGGCAGCCATCAAGAAAATCAGAAAGAAGTCAACAAACCGGTGTCTTGGGACCACAGAGTTTCCAATACTATTATAAGCCTCATCTCCAAGACAGCGGTCTATATGAAATGCTTCTGACTCTGTAGTCTAATGTCTGCTGAGATGTTCTGCAAATTGTCAAAAAGTATTATCATCCAGTTTACAGTCATAATATGAAAATACTCAAACTGTAAATGAAGAATTAAAGCCCCCCCAGCCCGTAGTAATTGTTTCCTTATGTGTTCATGTGCATTCATGGTATTCATCCTTATCTTTGATATATTTTCATCTGAGGGTCCCTGCTTCCAAAAAGATGTTGAAAACCACCGCCCTAAACTGATGGGCGTTACAGGTGGGGCCATGTGCTTTGGGTAGCCTTGCCCTTCGAGCTTTTGGAGTTCGAGTCCCACCTCTGTTCTTACTGTGTGTGGGCATTTCTGCAGTCCAGCGACATGCAGCCAGGATATTTTGTTTCTCTGATTGGCCCAGCATGTGATCAGGTGGGTATGTGTGTGTGTCCTGTGTTGGATTAGCTCGTGTCCCGGACTGCCTTGTGCCCTATGTTGCCTGTGATCTCCATTCCCCCCGTGACCATGACCAAGATAAGGAGATGGATGGAACCATGTGATTTGGTTTGCTTTCTTCAGCATGAGGAAATAAATGTAATGCTTAGAAATACTCTGGTAGGAAAATGTTTCTATTTTCAGGCTAGTTTCACATGCACTGGGCCTGGAGATGGAATTGTGAATGAAACTAAAGCTGAGTTTGCCCTGCCAAGAGGCCGCAGCTTTCCCCACAAATGGCTCTTCCACTGAGAGAGCGAACCTAAAATCATCCAAGAAATGGCAAAATGGCTGCAAAATCGGCACTCTCAGTTCCCGCAAGTCGTCTTAATCTCTCGACCTCAGTGCAATAGAATAGCTGTGAATCTGAATTGTAAAAAGCTGCCCTCAAATAGAGCAAGAAGAATTATGAAAAAATACACATGAAACCAGTTCCCAGCCAGTCAGTAGCACGATGCAGAAGATAGCTTCTAGCTGTCCTGGCTACCTGGAAATATGGGGAACAGTTCTAACTAGGCATGTAACGATGAATCGCGAATCGGTTAAAAATCTATGTAAATGTATGACGATTTAGACCGGCTGATGAATTGCTACTTTAGTACTTCACAGTATTTTGCTTAACAGAAAAACTGGTGTAATATTACATTTGATTTCACGACGTCAGATGTCCCAGAGGCTACAGGCAGGGAACCATCCATGTTGGGGCACAAACCCATCACAGCGCACACACACAACCTATGGACAGTTTGGTAACTCCAAGTCACCTCAGCATGCATTTGGGGGGGGGGGACTGAAGTACCCAGAATGCAAAGCCAGCGTGAAGACTCGAACCCTTGGTCGCAGAGGTGTGAGGCGACAGTGCTAATCACTGCACCACTGTGCCACCTAAATAAGAAATAAGTACAATTTAGACCAGAAGCCACAAGCCAATTAGGAGCAATACACACAATGTTTCCCACAGCTTAACATTTAATTTAGGTAGTGCGGCATGCTTAATACTATGGTTAATGTAAAATTGAACAACGCAAATCAAATCCATTTATAAGTTCATTTAAAAACCAGTATCGATACAATGTTTTACATTCACACATCATGTAATAGCAGTATCGATTCGCTTGGTAAGTTACAGAGGACTCTGGAGGAAACTTGTCAAGCTGTTTTAAATTGGAAGCAAGTGCAGTTTTCCTAGAGAGCAGACTTGTGAGGAGGGCCAAGTCCTTTGAAAGGAGTCAAGTAATAAAGAGGAGCATTTGAAGTCTCCTGGCTGGAGGCAGAGCCTCGGCCTGCAGGTCCCGGCGCGTTGCCGGGATACACGTGTGCGGGTCCCCAGAGTGGGCAGCCATGCCAGTGCCCCGTGGCTCCCTGCCCGCCCATCCCACACCAACAGGTTCTCCACTTTGAGGAGAATACCCGCTCTCCGGCATATGCTACAGTACATGGGACTTTTCTCTGCTCTGATTCACCCCCCCCCCCATCTCTCCCTTTCCCCTGCCCAGCTCCAGATGGCGTTCACCCCCCCAGGCTGGCAGCCGCCGGCCCCGCCAGCCTGCAGGTCGCCTGGTCGGCACCCGTGCGCAGCAATGCCCCAGGGCCGCTGCTGTATCAGCTGCAGATGAAGGCCGCGGAGGATCAGCGCATCCGGCTGTAAGGGCCTCTCCACCCTATTCAGCTCCTCTGACTTACCGCAGCCACCACCGTCATCTTCATTACATCATCCTGTGATCATGGCCACCTAATATGAGTGATGTAGGAGAATCGTAAATTTCAGGGACTCTAGAAGTAAAATTGAGGTTGGACCTCTTACCAGGGACTCCAGTGGACAACAAGCCTGTCTTGGTGTTTGCTGGATCTTTGCCTCCGCGTATGAAACATAATGCATGGCTTAGAGTGTATTAACCCGCTAAATTCGAGAATTTAACAGTGTCATGGTATAAGACAATATTATTATCAGTACTGAATGGGGGTAGAGAATCCCACATGTAATTTGACTACCTGCACTGGAGCCAGGCCTGGGGACGCTGTTGAGAGACAGGCACACGGTGACCGAGGTCAGCCTGAGCCAGAAAGGGCCACCTTGGGGCTCTTTGCCAACAAGGTGAAGGGTGGGGGCTTCGATTCTATGCCGGCAGTATGACAGGAAATCTAGCAGTGCTCTGGCAGCCTTCTCAACATGGACTATGTACAACAGTGTGGACGCCGATCAGATTTCCGCCTGACAGCTCTTTCGAAAAGTAGACAACTCTGCCTGTGAGCATGCAACAAATGCGGCAGTAATGCACAGCGTGCTCCATTTGCGCAAGCCGTGGTGTCTATGGGAGGTTCTGCATCTGATATGTATTCATTACATGCATCCTGACAACAAATTGCAATTTAATCAGAAATGGGGAAATTCTCATTCTGTTCTAATAAATAAATGACTAGCTCCATGTATTATATATCACCCTCATTTCCTGGGATTCTTTTGAAATGTATTTCATTGTTCATGTGATTTATTTATCATGTTCTATGATAAATTTGATTGTGAATTTTTGGTGAAAATCGGCGCCGCACAAAACAGGCTGGCGGTTTGACGTGACGACGGTAAATCCTGCTTGATGGCACCACGTTTGTTCTCCTCCTCGATGGAAACGTGCATATTAATCACCGCTGATAATGCCTTTAAAATTTAATTTGATCATATAAAATGCACGGCATGGCAGGAGACATTTCTACTTCTGTCATCTGTTTCCTAGTCATGAATAGTTATATACGCAGATATTGATTTTCTTGGGCAGTCTGATAAAAATTGAATTTTGAAGATTGTCAGGCCGAAAGCAAACGACTGATCGTTTGCAGTTGGTCAATTCTGGAAAAATTGCCTTTATAGGTCTTTAAGATTAAACACTTATAACTGCTGTTAGAGAACCACACACTTATATCAGGAGCGTGTGTTGTAGCAGCAGCATCTACATGGTGATTGTTTGCATGTGTTTTCATTTCTTGTTTTCTTGTCCTTCCAGACTGTTGGAGAACGAGACGACCACCTTCAGTTACACAGCAGAAGGACTTCAGCCTTACACAGAATACCAGTTCGGGCTTGTCGTGTCCCACAGCCACGGGCAGACAGCCAGCAACTGGGCCGCCTTCGTCACCGCCCAGGACCGTGAGTGCCGCCCGCGCCGGCATCGCCGGGCCGTCCTTGTCCTGAAGGGGAAATGTGGCTAGCGCGGACAGAGGGGAAATAAATATGCGTAATTAGGGTTAGGCGAAGAGGAGGCACATATTTACTCACTGTGAAACGAGCACATGTGCCACGCACGCCAAGGCGTGCTTTACGCCCCCCCCCCCTTTTTTTTAATGCACTCGATGGAATGCACTCCATCCTTCTCCCCATCAGCACCAACTGTGAGTCACAGGTGCTCAGAGGAGGAACACTGGCATCTACAGAGAGGAGAGCATTAAAAGTGTATATCTTGCCGGTGACCTAGATGGTGTCATTGTGGGCTAATTACTGTAATACAATCATATTAGGGTTCATAACAGACAGTCTTTGCGAAGTTATAAATTAATTATACTTGGGTCTATTATCACATACATTATAATTATAGGGCCGGTATTTGCATACATTTCGAATATGCCATATTATGGGCCATCGCCTGTTCATTACTATGCAGAGCAGCTCTTCCCCGAAACCCCCTTCTCAATAGTGGATTTATGCCCCGCAGCACCAGGGAACTTTTCTTTGGGAATTCTCCCGGCGTCTCCGTGATGTCTAAGAGTGTTGGTTTATGAGCGGGGGGCCGAGAGTGCAGTGCAGTGCAGTGCAGTGCCATGCGGCCTCATTAGCGGCGTCTGTTCCTCGGATCACGCTTCGCTCGTACACGTGTGTGATCGTGCGTATGCGTGTACCTACAGACGAACACTAACTAACGGTAATGACCACCCCCTCCCCATCACCAATTAAGCTTCTTTTTGCATATTAAGGGTTTCTTTCTGATTATTAAAATGACTTATAATCACCTTAATCAGATTTAGGGCAGACTGAATCTTTGCATTTCATTAATTTATAATGACAGGATGAATTTCACATCGTAGAGAACTCCTTGAAAACTTCGTTCGTTTTATCATTGGGTGGGTTCATTTCAAACAACTGCTTCAGGTGTAGTGAGTAATAAATACTATATATGTTTAGTTCTTGTTTATATTTTTTAATGAATAATGACATGCAGTATGATAGGTAATTAACCAAAAATGTACATACTTACTTTATTAAAAGGCAGGATGTAAATCAACAGGATCATCCCTTAATGAAAATCTTTTATATGCATTTTTGGATGTAGAGCTTCATACATACCGTCTTATGTGTAATATTCCACAGCACTGATTATTTCTGAAATGTTTTATGTATTTCTTTGTAAAATTACGAAAATGGTAAGATTGTTATTTTTCAAGCAAGATCATTGTTAGGACAGTTTCTTTGATTCGTAGGTTAGGTAGTTCGCACCTCTTGGGCTGAAACGGAGTTAGTATTTTAACGATAAATGATAAACGGTAACATATGAACATTGTCAGTCATGTCTCTGCTTGTCATCTAATGGCACCAGTTGAATAACTCTTGCATAAGTCTTTCACGCTTGGAATTTCTTTATCAAAGTATATTTGTTTTATTATTTCTGTATTTCCATTTATTTAGCCAACTTGAAACCAAAATACATTTCAGCATGTACCCTAAGAACTTGAACTTAAAATATGGATTAACAGGACTGAGTTGTAAGAATGTATTTTACTTTTTGGTATTTAACTGCATTTTTATTTATGCCCTTTTATTCAGGTGTGTATCATTTCTCGCATTCATTATTTCATGAATTTTCACGTCACCATGTTCATTCTGCTTAGATTTCACCGGTTTCCTTTTGAAAAGTTCCTAAGTTTTGAAAAAGAAAACAATATTTTATATATTCAGTATTATGTCAAGAGACACAAATGAAGGTTCAGCATATTTGAATAATACAAATTTATTGTTAAATCTGTAATTAAAACATTGAAATCCATTATTACTGTATGAGAATCTCATAGTTATATTAATTATTCTGTAATGTTTTTCTGAGAAAACTTTGTTTCTGTGTATTGTTTTTTATTGCCATTTCCTGAGCAATAAACATGGGCAGTACAGCTGGAAAAATTCTAAGACGCATATTATACAGCAGTGGAAATGTTAGTGCAAGTCTTCCCTGTCAGTCAGAGCAGAGGGGTTAGTTATTACCCGATCCTCTCTAGTTTCGCATCAGAGCCCGGCATTTCCAGTTTACAGATTACCATTGTGTTACATGCCATGTGGGAAACATAAATGGTGGGTTGATTCCTTGCATTAAAGGTATTCAGCCTCTGTAATTAATGATGAAACCCCTCCAGCCAAATTTTTAAAGGGCTCCTACATTTTTATTATTGCTATTACTTCTTTTTATCAAGCCGGATAAAAGTTAACTCACAAATAGCAACATGCTGTTGCAGAGCATGCGTCGAACTAATTTAAAGTAGTAATATAAAGCTATGAAATCTAATTCCATTTTAAAAATATTAATAAGGTCAGCTTGACATAGATGCATAGGATACCTAGAACTGTCCCTCCGCATTTCCAGTAGGACTAACCTCGAAAGTCATCATGGCATCAGTGCAGCCTATATGGGCCGCAAATGAATGCCTTTGCCGTTCTCCCACCCTTTGTGCCAGTCCTCCGCCTCGCCTTGTCACTTGATCGTGTTATTACTATGCTAACCAAATCCTTATAAATGTGATTTAAGGCTTGGCAGCCCGCGCTCTTGTTTTTCCTCGTGCCGCAGCGATTTATGGCCAGCCAGGAAAGGCTCGCCTTAAGTATTCCAAACGTCCCGGGATTACAGCTGTTGCCGGCCGCTGATTGAGGCCAGTCGGCGTTATCGCGCGACGTTCCCGCTCGTACCCCGAGAGCAGTAAAGCGTCAATAAAATACAAAGCACCTGCATCTTAAATGAAATTTCAATTGAAAAACTTAACAGCCCTTCAAATTGCAGAATTTAACACAGACCAGTAAAGCTTAAATAACACCTCGCCTCTAAAGACCAAAAAAGAAAGTGTATGTGTGGGGGGGGGGGACTGTATTCCGGGGGTTTCACACTCAAGGTGACTTGATTGTCTCGCGTGGTAAAATTATTTACAATTAAGGAATATCTCCAGAGAGCCGCGCTGGGCCTGCCATTGGACACCTATGTGGGCTGGCGTTTTGGGGCCTTTTTTGTATTCATGGGAGCCCCCCGAACCTTTGTGGTAATTGAATCAGTTAGAGTGCTGAGTGGAGCGAGCATAAAAACCTGTTAACCCAAAGGTCAGATCTGTGCATTGTTTATTTATCAGGAGATGGAGGGGGGATAATCGCAAGCCCCGTTACAGCAGCAGTTAAAAATAAATAAATAAGAATCACCCGTAACAATAACAGGAAGTAGATAAATGAGCACATCTGGGCCAGAATCATAAACAGAGCCAGGCTGTATTACCACATTTTTTAAATTAAAATATTATTTTCTGTTTCAGATATTTCTACCTAATGTGTACTGTGCATGCATTCTTATCTACGGCTAAGTACCATAATTAATATTTAAAATGGCTTTATTTTCCGTTCTTTTTATGATACTCAGTTTTTAGCATCATAGAGGGTGTTTATGAATGCAGATTGCTCCTATCGTTGCACATCAGCACAAAACGAGTCGTCCGTCGTATGGCTAACTGCTTCGCCAGTGTTATGTGAGCCGGCTGCGCCGACAGCGATAGCTTCCGGGATCCCTGACCTCCACAAGCTCCTGTAAATCGTGCCACCCTGCGTGTTAAACCTTCATCCGGATTCATTTTGTGGTGCTTATGTCCACGCATGGCTTGGAAGAAACGACAAGACACCAGTATTCCTAAACATTTCACGGTGTTCCTGATGACTTGCCGAAAGTGACGTGTTTCAAACCGAGTACATAAACCAACCACAGTCACAATGTGTGCAAGCCTTCATTTGTTGCCATGTACAGTGTGTAGTATATTGTCTAGTCCCTGTATACAGTATGTAGTATGCTGTGTATACAGTATATGTTAGTATGGTATGGTATATTATTCAGTAAATGTGTGTATGTAGCACCCTGGGGTTCAGGGAGACTATATTTCATCCAGGAATGTATTTGTGTATATTGATGGGCTGACGGTAAAGACGTCTTGGAGTTTAGGTTAGCACCATATTATCCTATAGCGTCAGTACAACGTCACAGGAGGCTGCAGCATTTTTCTGTTATGTTACTGCCTGTGCAAAGCGCTACATGCGCATCCTTAGCTAAACAGCTACAGCAGCCCTGCACGCGTTTCTTTTTCCTTGGTCTTCTGGAAAATTAGCGCAGTGTTATGTGGTTATCAGAGGCAAATGAGATGGTATGGAAAGGGGGGGTTACCCCAAGAGAGGCTGTTTTAATCTGGGCCATCTGGGGGATACATCAGCCGCCCAGCACGCTGGAGAGCCAGTCACCTTGATCCGGATGCCCTTGCCGGCAAGCCATTACCGCGGTACAGTGGGATGTAAATGGAGGAGGAAAACATTACCTTCAAATGAGCTTTCGTGGGGAAGAAATATCAATCAGGCATGAGAAGCAGGAGAGAAGACACACGAGGGCATGGGAAGATGCTACCAGCAGAGGAAGTTTGTATCAGAAGGTCTCGTTAAAGTGTAAAACGAGGACATCAAACTAGACAGTGGCCAATCAGGCTGAAAGGGGGGCGTGTTTTAAGGCAAAAGTGAAGTTTGTTGTTGAGCTCCATAGCTTTCTCTGTATTTATTAAACCCAGATTTTGTATTTGCATGATCACCTGTTCAATGGATCCATCTTTGTGTTTTTAGTCTTCACAACTTTTAGCTGAAGTTGAGCTCATATTCTCAGTAGATTCATGGCATGTTTTCCTCAGATATAAAGATGCGTCTAATGTTTCTGTAGTCATTCTTTTTTTTGTGTGTGGG